CGAGAGACGGTGGAAGTAATACTGTCGTGGAAGGCTGGAGGGCCTCTAGAGCGAGAAGGAAGGGCAAGGCCAAAGAAATATTAGGGAATGGTTTAAGGGAGCGGGGAGCTCCCATTTCCGGCGGCAATCTGGCGGAAGAAGATGCGCAAGATCTGGAGAATCTATTTGAGCTCCTAGGAAAAGCGTCAGCTCGAAGGATGAATGACCAGAGCGTCGTGTTGGACGGAGAACGAGGAATGGCAGAAAGGATCGAGAAAGCCAGGTTACGTGATCTAGAGAAGGCAAGTAGTTTATTTGACGGTTTAGCGGAAACTCTGATTGTCAGAACGTGCAGCGTGATGCGTTCCACGAACAGCTCGTGACACACTCCAATGCTGGACGCCTCACATCCCAAGACGCAGTTCTTCACAAACATTCCATCGCCTCACTAAACACGAGAACGCGAAACCCTGATGCTTTACTCACTCTCCCCGAATTTATTCGGGAGGCCATTCCGGATACTGTCGATCAGGCAAGAGACCCGGAAACATTACTCAGCCTCCCCGAGTTCGTTCGTGAAAAACCGCCTCCAGGCTCATCGGCTCATGAGTCGGGAAATAATCTGATAGGCACATCGACTGCTAAATTGAAGAAGCCTTTCAAACCCCCGCGAAGCAGGAGCTTATCCGCACCGCCCCTATCCTTGGCCTGGTTGCTCCCTGGTTCTACAGTAAATTCCAGGACGCCGTCGCCTTTATCTGAGTCAAAATCCACTACTAGTGGCCAATCTGGTGGTAATGGGCGGAATTCGCCATTGCGAGGTGCGCTGCAGCTATTTCGTGGCTGGGGTCGAATGCTAATACTCGGATAGCTGGTTTGGATGTGCAATATGTGGCTGAATACCAGGAGAATTTGGGAAGTGTTACCGTGTTCCTGCAAGTAAGCGGACAACAAGCAGGGTTCGACATCGAGGCCGAGGTCTTTCCGTATGGCGGTGAGCGCTTGGTGGTCAAGTGCGGTGCAAGCACCTCGGCGCCACTTGCCCTTCCCGCACGAGTTGTGCCTGGGAAGCGAGAGGTCAAAGTGCAAGGTGGTCACTTAGAGGTCAAGCTAGAATGCATATCAGGGCCAGCAAACGGCCATGTTTCGCAGTCAGGCGATACTACCGGCACGGGTCTCCTTGACGCTTCGCAATTACGAGCACTCAATCCCACTAGTTTCATTTGCGCTTCCTGCTCTCTGCCTCTTGTTCAGTCCTCAAGGTTATCACGATACGATGATCTACCATCAGAACATTGGGCTGAGCTCCTCGAGGCCTGGATGTGTCACTCTGATCAGCGGTTGTCTGACCGCATAGCTTTATACACAACAGGTCTGTGGCCATCACCTGGGCAAGCCCTTGTCGGTGGAAGCTACATCCTGTTTGAGTCTTCATGTTTGGTTGGCAGCAATTTCCGATGCAGTGAAGCGTCAAAGGTGAGCTTTTAGCTCATACCCTTATATTTTTGGTTTGGCCTTTGGCCTGCCGTTTTGTTGTAAAAGGACCAGAAGAAGGCCTTCGCTGGTTTATTCCACCAGTGGTCGTCATTCCTCGATGTGTGTGTAGGTGTGCGATCGGCCCAGAGCCCACGCAGGTTCTGGGTTTGGTCGTTGCTTTGCATGTAGCATTGAGGGATCTCGACAAGCTCTGCTTTTGGCTGATACACAGCGTCCAATATCGACTATTTCTCGTTAAACAACTCCCATGCGCAGAGGCCTATGCTATGGAAGCTACCGATGAGAATACATCTGTCTTTATTTTCCACTGTGTAGTGACGTGGTATATGTTGGGTGTTCGGTTACTGACTTTGGTCTTAGACAGATGATCTCGAACATTGGCAACCAGTCCGGTGCATCTGCGGCGCTGTGACGGGACGCTATCGGCGACATACGTCGCTAGAAGGGACGTACATATACCGCCTGGCAAAATACGCCATACGCCCTGTCAGCCCGTTATCCGAGTGCGTCCATCGACCAGTTTTTTTCAGGGCACGAACTGACCTAGCTTCACCTCCAGCCCAATGAAGATACCGCTCTCTGCCTTTGTGCTGCAAGATATGGACGAATTCGTCCACGCACACGCTACATATCGATTCGTCTTGTTAGATGACGAAGAAGAGAAGCCCCGGATACTGGTGCGGCGAATAAACCTTCAGCTTCACATGGCCTAGTAGCTGAACTAGCGACAGATCTGGATGTTCAACCCTAGCATGCGGATCTCCTACGCTACATCTACTCACAACTTTATCCCGCGGTGTGCGTCGATACAAGTGGCAAAAGTGCATTTCAAAATCCCAGGGCCGTCAGTCTCGCCTACCCTAAAAAGGTCAGTAATCGCCACCTTCATTACCAGCCTGTGTGTTGATCCAACCTGCTGCAGCACTCTGGAGAAGTATCCAGGCTTTGGGCAGAGCGAACGGCTTCTGTATCCACTGGACGTGTGCAGACGTCTAGCAGGACTACTGAAGGAAAGTAACCTGTCCTATCCTCAGGGACGGCGTGTCATGGGGGGACTTGACGTCGGCTGGCTTCTCCGTGCCTGACCGTCGGACATGTCTTTCCTTAAAAAACTCAGACGACATCTTATGACATTCATGTCCCTATTAGCATAGTTTAATACCCTAACGAGTAATCGATGTGCCTTTCCGTTGCCCATTAGATGGATTCGGAAGATGGTCCACGTGAGCTGATGCAGACTTGAGAGCAGCTTACAGGTATGATAAGAATACAGTGCAAATATACAGACTGTTCAGGCCAATGCAGTTGAGAAGAGGATCATGACGCGGATAAGGTGAGCGAGAATATGTCAGGGAGTCTCGTGGGGTAGACTCGACTGGCTATGACTGTTAGGTGGAGGTCCAGGGTGATCAACCGAACTACGCTGTGGAAAGCTGGAGCCATTGTGGGAGGGCATGCGTCCAAGCTTTTGATAGGGTGATCCGCCGGGTGAAAATAGGGGTGAGTTGGGGAGGGAGTTGTTTCGCCCAGTCGTGGGTGTGGGCGTGGGCGTGTAGTTTGTAGGTGCGGTCCCTTGAGCGGCCTCTTTGAGGAGAAATTCGACCCACATCTTGGAGAACGACTGACAGGAAGGAAGGGGTGTGGGTGGGGGGCGCCAGATATATGGGGATGGTACCACGAACCTCTGTTTCGTCTGTTTTCTCCAGCTCCGGCGTCTTGCCTTTGCCGGACGCTCTGCCTAGCAGGGACGAAGCGACACCGGTGGTACGTTGTAAGCCAGCTTTCTCTCGCTCGCTGTCCGTCCATGACAAGACGGAAGCAAGCAGAGACAGAATCTCGAACCGCTTGCTGTCGGCACGCGGCGTGGCGAGGAACGAGAGAACAACGTTTGTTACTAACCGTCTGGGGAACTATTAGTTATGAGAATGCATGAAAAAAAGGGCTGACGAGCCTGTCAACGTTGGTATCGGAAGCACCCTTTCGTAGTCTACGGATGGCTTCGGTGAGATGTTCGTTGAGGATGACAGCTGTGCAAGAGCAACGACATAAGAGGCTTGCAGATGGCCTTCATCACGTATCCGCGTACCCTCATGTCGTAACTTGCCTATAAGCAGATTTTTTTCTTTGAGTTCCTTCTCCAAAGCGGCTGTGCGCTGGGTATTGGTGGATGATTCCTGTAACTCAACCTACCACAAATGTCTCAGCGCAGGTCTGAGGAACGAAGGACCAAACACACTTCGGCTCGTAATGCACGAGATTTGAACTCTGCGAGAGACTGTGTTGTTTGTTGTAGTTGTGCGACATACTCCCGCACAGCCTGTCGTGTTTCATGCTCCTTGGCTGTAGCCAAATTGTCAGGACTGATTAGCAAGGGGCCGGGATGCGCACCCGACTGGAAGTCCTCCAACACGGATTGAAGATTTACGCTCCTCTCACGCTCCCGTTGCAGCTCGTCGGCTTCCCTGCTCCTAGCCTCCTTCTCTAATGCAAGCTCTCGCCTCGAGCTGGCCAGCGCAGCCTTGGCCTCATCTGCTACGACTCGCTCTTCGAGAAGAGCGCGCTCCCACTCGTCACGTTCCACTCGACACCGCTCAAGCGAACCCTGGAGCTCCAGCATCTCGCGCTCCCGGGCTGCGGCTTCGAGCGCGCTATCCTGCAAGGCCCTGTTTCGCAGGGACTCCAACTCGCGGGACGACTTCTCCGCCTCCGAATTGGACACGATCAGCTCATCCTTCAGCGTCTCGATGGTGGACCCGAGATCCTCGTTCTGCGCAGTAAGCTGCTGCACGAGCTGTTCTCGCCGATCAAGCTCCTCCTGGATTGGATGGCAAGTCGGTCAACGGGGGAGAAATATACATATACATATACATATACATATAGAGAGGACACCCACCGCGTCCGCCTTGAGCTTGCTCTCCACGGTATTGCGCATCGTGGTCAGTTTCGCGACCAGATTGCTGTATTTCATCGTGAGCGTCTCGTTTTCCTGCTTCGTCCTCAGCAGTTCGTCGCGCATGGACTGGACCGTATCTGCTGCGGCGCTCCCCCCGGGAGCCATCTTCTCAGTATGTCCATTGCCATTGGCCACGCCCTTGTCTAGGAAGCCGTTCACGTGTGCGGCGGGGGGGCTCTGAGCTCCCGGCGAGCTGTCAAAGGACAGGCGCATCTCTGCTAGGGCCTCATTAGCAGCGTCCAGCGCAGGTTGGCTTGGTTGGCTAGCATCGTCGGGGAGATGGGAGTCGTCCATCTAGGCTACCATGAGGTCACACGTCACGCGCGTCTTCAGCTCAATATTCTGTTTCGTGGGTACTTGCCGATGCCACTGCTTAAGATCGCCAAACAATAATATGCTGCGTTTGAAGTTGAGAGTAAGGGGTAGCGTCTTCGGTGTCGCCTCACCAGGGCGCGGCGGTTGTTGTGAACTATCGTTGGTCGATACAACATTTCAATGGAGAGGAGAAAGAAAACATAAATAAGCACATGGCTATGGTCTTGTGGGGAAAAGGATGAAACGAAAAAATATACGATCAGGACGGGACTCGAACCCGCAACCTTCACCTGGAAGATGTTCAACCGGAAAGTGACGAGCCACCATTGCTCCACCCGACCATAAAGTATCCGCTCGCTATGGAGATATACAGCTTCGATGTTTGTCGATTTATTGCAACTAGTTTTCGATGGATGACGAGTACGCCTCCAACTGAGGTGTTGGTGACGGAGGACGCTCCGAGTATGGCTCAAGGGCATGACTTAATTAATTGGAGGTCGCGCGATCACCGCAACTCTCTAACGCAGGAATGCACCAACATAACATAGGGTCAACAACTTGTCATTCGACAGCATGGAAGTAGGTACTAAAGACATTGTCAAGAAGGACCGGAATCTATTACGCTAGAGAGGAAAAGAGAGAAGGGCCCCCCCGTCCCACTAATGCACGACATTTTAGCACTGAGGCGGAGTGACATAACAGGTAGGGGGGCAAAGCATAGGTGTGGTAAGTAAAGTACGGGGAGGACGGCCCGTACCGGGTCATGTGGGATGATACGGCGGTGGAGAGAGGTGGAACAGAAAGATGTGTAATGACTGGTGGAAAGGAGCGTCGTGCATGTCGGGATGGCATATACAGAGAGGAGTGAGTAATAGGGCGAGAACCGTAGGGTATTGCGTATGTATGATGGGAGGCAGGTGAATGGATGCACCGAGACGAGTGGGAGAAGAATGGGTGTTGATACGAGATGATGATATAATGCAACTGCGACAAAATATCATCAAGATAATCATGGAAACGGGAAACGAAGGCACACTCACCCACACAACCACCACCACGATCTGTACCTTAGCCTAAAACAAAAAGACCTATCCTCCGCCCATTCAGGGCTCTAAAGTGCCCTCACACACCCACGAAGGGCAATATAAGGAGTCGAGGAAAAATACTAAAAGGACAAAGTAGAAGGGGGTAGGGGGGAACAAAACAACCGCGACCGAAACAAGACCCAAGAAGCCGAGGGAGTAAGGATGGACGGGCAATCGAAAACCAGAGCTACGAGATGAGCAAACAACAAAGTGCAGTACAAAAAGAGAAGGGGCATGGAGTGGGGTGAAGTGGTAGAGTGCAAAAAAACAGCGTCCAATGCCGATTCTTTGCGATGCGATACCGATACACGATGAGAATGCAATGCGACTGTGAGGAACACGGAAACGAAGAAAATGGCGTCGGGGGATTGGGATGGGCAATAGTGCCGATATCTGGGATCTTGCGACACCAGATGTGCAGCGCGAAGGGTCAAGGATGGGCAATAATGGTAGGGGATGCAATATCTTGGAACGGTGCAACGCGGACGTGACTCGCTTTTTGATACAGCGCCTGGTCAAACTTGGACAGCATCCGCCGTCGTTGATGGATGGCTGACCACGATGAGCAGGGACGGAGAATAAGAATGGAGTGAGGGGGGGTGGGGTAGTGGAACAGAGCGGCGAACACGACAGCGATGTTTAAGAAAGGCCGTAATGCAACCAAAGGTGATAAATATAAGCCAACAAAATGGCTAGTGGTGGCGATCCAGTGATAACTGAGGGCGGCGTGCAATGCCGATAGTGGGTGCCGGATGCGTTGTGGGCGGATCGCCACCGAAGCGCGGGTGTCCTGAACGAGAAACCAGACCGATATGAAGCCGTAAGATGAGATAATACAAAAATAGCTGTCTACTGAGAGAACATAAACAAGGAGTCAAAGGTGGGATTAGAATCGGCATACCTAAAACGTCAAGCTCTGACGCCAAGCAAAAAACTGGGTTTAGGTAATTCAACGGGCTCGGGCGCTAGTTGAAAGCTCGAGCTCGCGAAGAGCTGTCTAGCCCCATCCATACTACACAAACCGCCCACATCAGAACCCGTCCCTGCCGATCCAGAACGCGACAGAACATACCTATCCCGCGGTCCCTTCTGTCTGCGTGGGGATGGACTAGGCGTACCCGTGCTGGGGAAAAGCGGAGATCCAGGACCCAAGGAGCTCCCATTTCCGAATAGTCGCACCATCTTCTGGTGAACGACCGCACCCTCGGGCAGGGCTTCGGCTTCATCCTCGGACAAATGAAACATGGCGTCAACCGCGCCACCACGGGTGAAGCTTGCGGGTTGAGAGGGCACACGGCGGTGCGCGGGATTAACCTGCCTCGAGGGCGTCGTTGGTCCAGAGATGGCGTTGGGAGCAGGCGTCCTAGCGCGGGGAAGACTTGCGGGTTTCGGGAATGTGAAGAATGGGAATTGGCCACGAGCAGCACTAGGCGGCAGGGGGGCGGACTTGGGGCCCTCCTGGAGTACGGAGCGCCACGCGGGGTGATTCCTACCCGTTTGACCGATAGGCGTGACAGGCTCGTCTTCCTCGGGTTCACCGTCGTCGGATGAGCCTGGGGCGGGGAAGTCCCATTCGGCAAGAGGGAGATTGGCAGCATCTGGATTTGGCTTGACTCTGTTCTTGCGACGTCTCTCGGAACGACGACGCTCGGGGACTGGAATTGGGGCAGAGGGCTCGAAGGACTTGGCGGGAGATGGTGCACGTGTGCCCTTGATGGGCTCGGGCGATGGGCACGATTTGGCGACTGCGGGGGTGGAGCGGTGGCGGCTGCGGCGACTGCGAGCCAGACGACCGGTGGGGTGGGTTACGAGGGTTGGGGGCTGGGGTGATAGGCGCTCTGCGGGCGGAGGAGGTTGGGGAGACTCTGGGACAGCTGGGACGGGAGTATTGGGAAGAGTAGGTGGGTGAGAGGCTGATGTGAGCTGTGGAGACTTGGCCTTGGGGGGGTGCTGAGACCTGCCGCGTGCTGGATCGGATGGGGAGAGGGTGGTAGATGGGGCGGATACGGATGCTGTGGGACGATGAAGGCGATTGCGGGGAAACCTGGGAGAGTGGGGACGTTGAGGGTGTCTAGATGTCGGCCTGGGGGGTTTTGTGAGGGAGAGAAGGCCGGGTGTGCTGGTCGGATGCGGGACGACAGCGATGCTGGACAATGATGCAGGATGGCGTCGGTGATGAGGATGGCGAGAGAAGGATATTGGCTGCGGCTTCTGAGTGAGCAGCATGGCTGAGGATGGTGGATGGGGAGCGCAGGAAGGAAAAGGCTTGAAGATGAGATGGCAGTAGCGGAGCAAGAGTGATTAATCTGTCTCAGGGCGGAGATTGAATATATGATACAAATACAGGTCCACGGGGACCCACGGCAGGGACAATACGCCGGGAATGGAAGGTTGTGTCGAGTTTGGAGCAACTTGTACAGCGACAGCCTGAGAAGACACCATATATGGGGGCTATGCGACCTTCCATGCTCCTTTGTTCCCTCCGACATTCCTCCATTTATCCTCACTACAGCAGGCAACAGGGAGCCTGGGGAGTATGCTTTCTGACTCCATACATTCCAACCATCCGTCACCATACACCAACCATGTGCGTTGTATGAAGATAGCGGAATGATTACCCGGTAGTAACCGTACGTGGAAATCTAATCACATTTGGGCCGAAAACATGTCCTTCATGTTGGGATCCGGAGAGAAAACTCAGGAAACGACGATACCCGGTACCCGGAGCGCCACCAATCATATAATAATCCCTGATCGGAGCACGACTACTGAGTACGCAACAGCATTGCACGATCGACGTCTGTCGGGAGCCATGCATAATTGAACCGAGGCCGGACAGGGACGACCATGATCACACAACAAGGTTGGGAGATGGCGCAAGAATACATTAGGATTACACGAATACAAGAGATAATAAGCACAACAGGCTCTATACTTCTTGCGAAGTCCCGTCCTTCTTGCCCTTCGCTGTCTTCGACGGTAACAGCTGCACCCCCGATTAGGCCTTGTTGTGACGCGGAGAAGGGAACATACCTCAGGCTGGATGAAGGGCACGACACCACCTTGGGAAATCACGACATGCCCGAGAAGCTTGTTCAGCTCCTCGTCGTTGCGGATCGCAAGCTGCAAATGCCGAGGCACGATACGTTGCTTTTTGTTGTCGCGCGCCGCATTCCCAGCGAGCTCCAGGATCTCAGCCGCCAAGTATTCGAGAACCGCGGCGAGATAGACTAAACAGCACATCAGACGCGAGACCGCCAAGGGGTACAGAACAACTCACCAGGTGCACCCGCACCGACACGTTGCGCATAGTTGCCCTTCTTCAGCATACGGTGGATACGTCCCACCGGGAACTGCAGACCAGCACGCGATGACCGCGACATCGTCTTGCCACCATCGCCTCCTGCCTTCCCGCCCTTGGCACCAGATTTTCCTCCTTTTCCAGACTGCACAGCCAAGTCAGACAAAGTCAACCAGCCACAGGCGGCCTACGCACCATTTTTATGTGAGACTTGTTGTTGAGCGTGAAGAGTTTTTCTTGACGGCGACGGCGACAGGAAAGTTGTCGGCAGTGAGCGTGACCGTGGATTATATACGAACGCGCTGGCCCGTGCGAGTGGAAACAGAATAAGGTTTCACCGCGCAGTTCACGTCACGTGACCCGCAAACATCAATAAACATGTAGATTATAAGACTCCCTCGTGTGTCACCAGCCACACGCTGCCACTTTTCTGAAACACCACCGTCTCTCTACGTCCGTTGTCTTCGTACTCGTATCAACATCCAATGGCTCCCAAACCCGCCTCCACCGCCGGCAAAGCGCCAGCCTCCTCGACCGCCACGAAGCAACCCTCTGCCTCCAAGGCTCCCTCTGCGGCCAAAAAGACGTCGAAGAAGACTGCGCCTGCTGCTGACGGGGAGAAGAAGAAGCGCAAGAAGACCCGCAAGGAGACTTACTCCTCTTACATCTACAAAGGTGAGTTTCGTCTTCTGATCTTTGGATATCGGTCTGATCCCGCCGCAGTCCTCAAGCAGGTGCACCCAGACACGGGTATCTCGAACAAGGCCATGGCTATTCTGAACTCGTTTGTGAATGATATCTTTGAGCGTATTGCCGGCGAGGCTTCCAGTATGTCTATTCCTTTCGGTCACTTTTCGTGCGCTGATCTATTCGTGTAGAACTCGCGTCGTACTCCAAGAAGTCGACGATCTCGTCACGCGAAATCCAAACGAGCGTGCGACTCATTCTTCCTGGC